AAACTCACACACCAATGCACAGCATCGGGAGCAATTTGGGGTTCAGTGTCTTGCCCAAGGACACTTCGACATGCAGCAAGAGGAGCTGGGTATTAGTGGGCCACCCGCTCTACCTCTGAGCCACAGCCCTAAAGGACCCAAAAAGCAAAAAGTATAGTACTTAGACCATACTTGAGACTTGTTGGACTTGACTATTCATATCCAAGAATTGAGACTTACTTGTGACAAATCCACTTTGCATTTTATTGCAAAACAAAGTTTATCCTTCTAAAGATGAAGTTTTTGTTGACACAGTGTCAGACAGCTTTCCTGTCTAACTTAATTTCCATGAATGGGGGGTTGTATTCTTTTTGCATGGGAAATTGAATGCTTGCAGTGTTGTGGTTTTATAATTGACTGCATATCTTTTTCAATTCCAGACAGGCCATATATGATGCATTCAACAGATTCTGCCTCAAGTATCCCAACCTGAACTAGCAATGACAGCCTGAAGCCCTTTCCTCCCTGTAACAGCAGCAGGACCTGTGCCTGGACACTGGACAAAGCAATGCCTGTCCACAGACCAGAAGCATCAGCATGAAGTATGGTAGTTAAGATCTCTTCTACTGAGACATGATTTGTCTGAACTTTACAGGCTGTCTTTAGATAAAGGCCACTTTTCCAATTTCCTACTTCTAAAAGGGAACCCTGGTGCACCCAAACAAATATAAGCAACTGAAACTGTACAAGAATTTAGTTGTTGATGTTGATCCGTCTCTGCTTGTTGAAAGAACACTAAGGCCTCTTATTTCACTCTTATTAATTCACTGGTCCACACCACCAGGGTGGATGTGTCCATCCTGATGTGTTCTGTTAGGAAACACAGACAGTGCCTGTTATATTGATATCATATCATATCATATGAGCAGAATATTAGCTACTGCAGAATGTAGATTACTGCAGTATATGATGAAAATACGAGGTATAAATGCAATACTGGGGACAGAGAATTTTAGAATATTGTAAAATATTATAGAATTGTTAGTTACATCAAAGAATATAAGTATATAAATTAAGCTCACTGTAAAGCTGCTTTCATGACAGAGAAATTCAGTAATTAATAAATAAGTCTAAGGGATTTTTCACAGTTATGGAAATGGAAATTAAATTTAAAAATCCTTATAGTTTTGTTGACCCTGTCTGATATACCTGTAGTAATTTTTTGTGGCAGAGTCTTCCATTCCCACACATTGTTAAAATGACCCGCATACACATGCAGTATTCTCTGTTGCTTTTTTTTTTGTAAAGCCTGAAAGGTGCAGAAGACTAGTTATATCTCTGGCCACTTGAATTACATCATGCTGAAAGGGTATTGTGGCATTTCTGCGCAGATACCAAAAACAGCTGCCCAGCTATAAGTACTTTGTGGTATTCCTCACACTAACAACATTCAGTGTTCTGGTGTCAAACTGTCAAAAATGATAAAGCAATTCTAATGTTGTACTCTAAAAAGTTCATAGGGTTGCTAGAGACCTGAGGTATGTAAGAGATGCAGGTAATGTTGTGTTTTTCTGTTTGGGGTCATGGTAGCACTGTTTACTCATGGTTACTATGAATAAATAAAGACACAATGATTAAAATGTTAGTTTACTGTCACAGTAACTTGATGGAGCAGCAGCTTTAGTGCAAGTCAGCAGTTTCTTTGATGGTAAGGGTTTTGTTACTGTGTAGATTTTTTCTATTTCTTCCACCCCTTAAAATCAAGAAGGCCTCTAAGGTGAAGCTCATAATTTTTAATTAGCTCCACTTGTCTTTCTGCCAGAACATATCATTTTCAAATGATAACATACAATTTTGAAACAAGAGGCCTCAGTGTTTCTGACAGAGATATGCTGTACATAACAAGAGACCGTAAAATATGGTAACAGCTTGGCTTCTTTGGTCCAGATACCATATTATGTGCTACGTTTCAGTAAATTATACTGAAGTGCATCAAATGCCACACATATATATGTACATTATGTGAAAAACTGGACTGACTACTCGTCCTCTGCTGTCCACCCACTTCCTGCACTGTGTGACCGCTGTTCATCCAAAATGTTCAGTTTGCTTGCGACAGAGAAAGCTCATTGTAGGTTCCTTTTATTTAAAGATGTGTAAACAGTGTGCCATCTGAAATTGAAATAAAGTCAAACCTACAGAGCAACTAGAGGAGCTGTGATTGGTCAGATTACCAGCTCCTGTTGCCTCTCTGCGGGTTGAACCTGGAATTTAATTTGCACACTGCTTACACATCTTTCAATGAAAGTGATCATAAAATGGAAACTGTAAAGCAGGCAGCAGATTAATTGTGAGATGGAATAAGGTACATTGCACACTGGTAAATGAAATATGAAATTAAATGCATTTTTGCTTTTTTGATTTTAAAATGTAATTCTTAATCATTTAAAGTCAGAATAAGGCATTTTCTTTGATAATGTTATTTTGCTTTTGGGTTCATTAATGCATTATTAAATAAAAAATGTTTAGATAAGATCCACTGTAAAATTTAGGAGGATCTATTGTCAGAAATTGAATATAAGCATTGAAGTGTTTTTATTACCTTGGAATAGAGCCCGACCGATAAAGGATTTTTAAGGCCGATGCCGATACAAATATTTGGTGATTTACGAAATGCCGACGCGGCCGGTGTCTTGAGTCCCAGGGGCTATACTCGGCCGATATATAGAGTAAAAAGGAAAATCCAGAAACACGTAACAAAACAGTAAAACAGCTTTCCGGCAACATTGAGTTCTACTTTGTAGTTTTCAGTGAGTCGCCTCACTAAAATAAAGGTTCTAGCGTATAATGTAGTTTAAAAAGATAAACTTGTTTGTTTTATTGTAAAATTATATTATATTAAAGGAACAGAAGACATCAAAAAGTATATTACAAAGTTCTATGAAATGACAATGTAGTAAAAGAATACAAACTTGAGATGCAAACTCAAAGTCCTTTGATTTTTTTATGTTATTGTGTGTTTGTTCAAAGTACGAGTATTAATAGACTTGGTAAGCTTCAGCGGTTAAATATAACTCTTGAACAAGAGTGGAAAAAAGCAGAATTTCTGTTATGTTCTTAAATTTAAGTTTTGTTTTTTGTGCTTTGATAACCATACACAGCCAGCCAGGAGAAAGTATGAAACCAGAGTATGACCGAGGGTGTCAAACTCGATTTTTGGTTTAGGGGCCAACATAGCAACCCAATTGTGACCGTTAAGTGGCCGGACCAGTAAAATGAAGGCATAAGGTTAGACTATACAATGAGCAATGCGCAGTGAGCAGGGTAACTGTATAAATAGGCAACAACCGGTCCCATAGTTCTCTTCGATTTTATTTGCAAAGAAATGAACATTACATTCACAAGACACTACACATTTAAAAACCTTGTCTTTTCACTGAACATTTGTGAACAAACTGAATTTGCTAAGGAAGCAGATAACGTGCAATTCTCAACATACTATTATATAAATTTCATTACACAGTGCCTGCATTAGGCTACGAATTTAAAGATCAGTGGATGTGGATCTACAAATGCCACAGAACATAGTAGACATGACCTGGAACTGAACATAATGGATCAGGGGTAACTTTCTGCGGTTACAGGTTAATACTAATTAAAACGAACGTTGTCATATGATCTTAGGAAGTCAGATTATTTTTGCATCTTTAAAAATGCATACTTAGACACAGTAAGTGATGCATTTTCAACAGAGCAAAGAGGCTGTCTGAAGCAGCATTTTATGAAGTAGTTAATCACTGTCTGGTAGTTGCTAAAGTTTAATTCTCCTTTTTTGACATCATTTTTGACTAATGAGTTGTTGAGATAGAGGAGGAGTGTTTAGGGCAGCGCTAAGTGTGGTGTAGACGACAGGAGAGAGAGAGAGAGCGTGAACGCGAGCGGCGGGTGAGAGTCAGCAGCAGAGAGGATTTATCAGGTCTAGCGTAATAGTGCTGCTACTCAGGGTGTGAGTTACGTTGTCGGTGAATAAGCTGCTTGGTTATAAAATTAGTGGCTGATGGTTCTCAGGGATACTCGTGGGGGAAAAAAAAACAGTACAGTGCTTTGACACCTCAAGGAATTTGAATCGTTATCAGCCCATGATAAAATGGGCCAAGGAAGCCAATAGTTATTGGG